TCACCTTGCCTTCATCGCCTCGCCTTTCTCTTTGCCTCCGCCTGAGCTTTTTTTTTGGGGGGGGGGGGGGGGGGGTCTTTTTTTAAATTAGCCTGGGATTATCCAAATTTTTTTCCAAGGGAATAGATTATTTTGGACCCAGCGGTGTTTTGTTTTGGAGGCTCACCTGCTTTCAAGGTTGCCCATTTTGAGTTTGCCTAAGTTGACTTTAAACTTTTTCCCCATCCACCTTTTGCTTCCGAAGTTTCTCCATGGGGCTTCCCTATTACATTATTTGCTCTATGTATAAAGTGCTATTTGTTTATTCTTTTATGTCTGTATCTTATTCAGTAAAGGCATTCCTTCCCCCGCTGGCAAAATTTAAGTATTTCTATCCCTCAGGAACTGATATCCCAATTAAAATTCTATCTTTATTATTCTGAGTACCTCATACTTTAAAAAGTGACCATCCAATTCATACTTTTCTGTTTCCATTGGGAGGTTAGGCATTGCATGGCATTGAGGCCAAAAAACATCGGAATAAAGTTTGATATATTTCATTATTTTGGAAAATATAGCCATGTATTCTAGCAAATTTTTCTACGTTCCAAAGTTAATAAAAGTCAGTACTCTCTTTGCTTATTTTTTTCTATCACATTGTACTGGAATGAGGCCTTTTGAATGAAATGGGACTTGAATTTGTTATATAAAACTGGACTACAGAGGAGTTAAATGTTGAGCCATTCTCTGAATTGAGTATATTCTGTAATAGGCAGCTGTTCATCTGATTCTACAGTTAATGCATTTTTTTCTTTTAAGAATCTATGTAATTTATTTCTGTGTGGATGAATGTGATGGAATTCATCTTCGTTAATAAGAAAATATAAGGCATTTCACCTCATTTTCATGAAGGAATGTATATAATGTAGGAGATACTATACTTTTTCTAGATATTATCAAAAGAATAACAATGTAAGAATTTTTCACTCAATTGAAAGTATCCAGCTACAGCAGGCAGCTGTATGTTCCATGCCAAAATATTTTGGATACCTCTATTGGCATTAATGTGTCTTTGTATTAATAAAATCAGCATTTTTAATATTTGTAGTTTTTTTAATGCTTCAACTTTTTTTTAGAAACTATAGATTTTTTGGTACATGTTATAAATACATAAATACCAGCTAAACTGGTTGTATGTTTATTATCCCTCTTATTTCTCTGGTTTTAAATGTACGGCCTGTCCCTAACCTTTACAAATCTTGATTCAGCAGTCAATTCCATTGTATAAATGGGGCTCATATAAAAATATTTATGATTCTAGTCACAAATATACTGTTTTTAATTTCATTTTTAATTATGATACAATATGATCAGAGAAAGAAACAAGAAAAATAGAAAAAATGGGTATACTATATCAGTTTGAAAGCTGGATTCAATGTTAAAGTAAAACACTAAATAATTGACAGCTATATCAGTATGATTCAATTTATAAATCATAAAAATACTCTGATGTTAGGAGAAATTTACCAAGTTTAGATTTATAATCCAATCACTTCTTGGATTATAAATCTAAAATAGTTTCCAAACCTAACTGAATTTTACATCAATTTAATTAATTTTGATATCATTTTTCTGGCCAATTATGAAATATTTATGCTTTCCAATAAAAAAGCATAGTGTAATGAATTTTAGATGGTCTTAACCTGTAAATGTTGAATTCAGTATATTTTGTACAAAAGTAAGTTTTAATCATTTAGTAATAAAACGAAAATGTTTATGATTTAGAAAGAAACTTAACGAATTGGTGTCATCTCAATAAACATGCTTAATATTTTAATGTTTTACCTTGTTAAATTACTCAGGAGAAATAACATTTTGTTGAAATAAGTAAAATATTTTTTTAAAAAATAACCAATGCACTAAATGGAAACAAAAATCTTTAGAAGGTAATTGTGGGGCCTATTCAAACATGTTATCTTTGAAAACAGACAGTGGGTAGAGCTTTATTTTTTCCTTTCCTACTCTTTTTCTTTTAAATGAATAGTATTTAAAATGCACAGAGGCACTCCAATTTTCTATGTTAAATATTTATAAAAAGTTTGGAAACTAGAATATTCTATTACCTTAGAATTATTAGAATTTGTTGGTAAAATATACTCTTATTTTCTTACAGTAAAAATGAAGAGAAGAACAGACCCTGAATATGGCAGCCCACAGAAAAGGCAGAAAAAAAGGATAGAAGAGTTGGGTTTGACTCTTAGTTCCACATCAGATGATGAAACCCAACTTAATATTAACCATGCAATTCAAGGTACTTATTGATGCAATCATTACATACATTCCTGAAGCTTTCAGTCATCTTGGGGAACATTGTATGATGGAAAATGCAACTATGACATTTTTAAAACTCCCATGCTCAAACAATTATTTCTAATTTTGTTGCATTGAATTTATAGCAATCTCCTCACTGTTCTTAGATGAATTGTTATTAATGAGAGCTCTGTAATAAAAATACTATGAGGTATCAGTATTGTGAATCACAAATGACAGAAGGAAGCCTCTCAGGTTCCAAAAATCACATGTTGAGCTTCTTCTAAGCAGTTTTCTTTATTGTTCCTTGCTTATATACAGAAATCTTTCTAAACTAAAGTAGACTACTTGTACCATTAAACATACACTCTGAGAATTCCTAGGGAAGAGCTGTGTTAATCCCCTCCACACATAAAGTATTTAAACTTCACTTTTGCTCTTCTAGAATCAACTCCCTTCAAACTAAATTAGTGTAAAATAGAGTGTTTTTAGCTTGTGCAACCTAAGGATATTGACAGATATATGGAAAAATGAGGCCAGCTATGTATTCTTTGCATCTTTGTGCAGATGATTGGATGAGGAGAAAACATTTTAAAGTATTTAAATTATTAAAAAGCATTTTGATTAATAGACATCAACACCTTAAGCTGGGATGCTTGGAGATTGATAAGTTCTCTTGACATATCAATGGCTTCCCATTGTACCCCTCTTAGCTTTTGGGATTATAATAGATTATTATAATGGACTGCAGTTACACTACAGAAATTAGGTGTTATGTGATCCTGTTTCAAATGGAGCCTGCAGCTAAAGGGTCCCTTTCTCACATTCTCTCTATTCAAAATATCATTTCTGTTTGATTATTCTCAATCTTCATGTGTTTGGAAACAGAGGAAAGATATATCCTAAGATGTGCATGTTCCAGATCCATAGCTCTGTATTAGGCCACCTAGTGTGAATGCAGTTGGTATCAACTTCAGAATGTGACATTTTAGAAATCTAAAATTTCAGAGAACTGCTGCCCAATAATGGGACAGTATTGATAGTCCAATCTGATAAAAGATAATCTATGTTTGTAGATCATGACTAATATATGTTGTGCTGATTTTTGAAGCTTCTATTTCTTCTGTTTGTTTTTCAGATTCTTCCACGAGCAGCAGTGAATCTGATAGTGAGAACAGTGCGAGGCGGCCTACTCTTGGCACTTTCAGCAATAAATTCAATGCAGATTCTCTTGTGGAGGGCACATCTTCCCGCTACTCAATGTACAACAGTGTGTCCCAGAAGCTCATGGTGGGTCAGAATACCTCTTGCTCTGTAGGATCTGTCAGCTTGATCCTGAGAATAAAATTAGAGTTTATCATTCTTCATTTGTTAGTGATCCTGATTTTCAACACTACTAGGGCACTTCTTTATATTCTTGGAATGTCACAATAATGTAATAGCCTCTTAGTGGAGCGTCCTTAATGTTCTGTCATTTAGTTACATATTGCTGGTGTTTCCCTGGTTTTGTTATGTCTTCAACCATAAAGCCTGTTAGGGTTAAAATAGTTTAAGCTGTTATGATTCAGGATCTACTAGTTATCATTTTCTGTTTACCTCCAGGAACTAGTAGCTTGATATGAGGGCATATGTTTTCACTTTCAAGGATTTTGAAATTCAGTGCAATCTGTGTGGAATAAACTTCTAGTTCAATTTTACAGGTAGTCCTCAATTTACGGCCATAATTGAGCCCAACATTTATGTTGCTAATGAGAAATTTTATGACTTTCCTTGCCACATTTATTAAGTGAATCACTACAGTTGTTAAATTAGTAACATGGTTAAGTGAATTTGACTTCCCCATTGACTTTGCTATCAGAAGGTATAAAAGGGGATCATATGACCCCGGGACACTGCAACTGTCATAAATGTGAGTCAGTTATCAAAGATCCAAATGTAAATCACATGACCATGGGGATGCTGCAGCAGTCATAAGTGTGAAAAATGATCTTGTCACTTTTCCAGTGCTGTTGTAACTTCAAACAGTTATTAAGCAAACTGTTTTAAGTCGTACTTGAAGAACAATCAGGGAATTTCTAGGGAAATCAGAATTTTATTTTTTAGTTCAGCACACTAAACTGACTTCCCTTTCATATTTTTTTCTGTCCTAATTTTCAAATAATTTCAATTGATTTGTTGCTTAATTTTTGGGTTGTTTTATAGTATTTAAATTAATTTTTGAAAATTCTATTTTTTAGTTATTGTAGTTTATATTGTTTGTGTTTTACACAGACTGTATGTCACCCTTTAAAAGGATGCCTTATCACCAAAATATGTACATTAAAAAAGTTTTAAAAAGCAAAGCATAATTGAAGACCTAGGAGCACAATTGCTTTGGGTAGGATTTTCATTAGCTCTTAGGAGACAATTAAGTGAGCATCTTGAATATCTCTGTGCTAAATACATTATCAGTATGTATTTAACTCTGTACATTTATTAGTATTATAGAGGGCATGGATTAGACGTGAACCGAGTTTACCCGTATGATTTTAATATTTTAATTAATAGACAGTGTTGTCTTTTATAAACTAAATTATCCCAGAAGAATCTGAATGATAGAAGTACAGAATACATTCCTACTTCAGTGAATCTTTAAAGATAAATGAAATTCTTTATTTAGGACCTTTGGCAATGTATTTCCTATAAATATGCATGTCTGTATATAACACATTTTTATATACATGTGTATTTGGTACTTGGAAATATGTGTTTACATGACCTTTTTGAAATATAAGAAATATAGGATATTTCCTTTTAGGCAAGCACTAAAAATCTTAATGAAGTGCAAAACAAGTCTGTTTTATGAAAAAGTCAGATATGATCTTTCAAACGTTACATAAAGTAATATTTTTGTACCAAATGTAATATACTTGCAATGTATATTAACAAACATTTTAGTATGTTAGGCAGAATAACGGATTACTTCTGTGTTGGTAATTGGTAGAAAATGAGCCTTGAACTTCCTAAAAGCCATAGTTACTTTGCATCTTCGATATAACCACTGTGTTTAAGAAGCTATGGTTTAGTTAGTGATGGGGAACAGCTTTATTTGGATGCTTTATGCAAATTGGGATTTGTTCAGTCATGGTTGCTTAAACAAACCAGAATGAGTCTTGGAGGTTGAGCAAAGAAATAATAGTTTTATTTTATTTTCTTCTGGTAGTCGTTATCAAAGTGTTTTCGTTAACTGTAAATGACGGTTTTACTTGTCTTTGGGAATATTTTCTTTTTATGGTGTAATTTTTCTATAGGGATTTTATGGATTGAGCTTGTTTTAATGTGGAAAAGTACTTATGCCAGTTTTGTTTTGTTTGTTTTGTTTTTACCACTGTGACTTGGGGTGTGATATCCTTCTAGGAAAGGGATAGAAGTGCGGCAGTGTTTATGTTGAGATTGTTTTTTGGAAAAGTAAATTCTCATTTTTCTTTATGGAAGCCTGGATGTATTTTTGCAGTGTGTATATTTTTTGGTGTTTTAATATTCTTATGCAATTGTATTTTTATTTAAACATTTTTTAAAGATCAGCATTATTAATCAGTGTAAGAATATATATAAAAGCAATTTGTACAATTGCTTTATAGAAACAAAATGTTCAGAAACAAACTACTTTGTTAATTTTTTTTAAATTTTAAAAATATTATTGATCCAAGGAAGTACATCAGACTTCCAGTGTTCTAATGTAGTAAACTGGCAGCTAACAGCACACAAGTACATAAGAAATTAGGTTTTGCTATTGTCTTGAGAAAAATGGGCAATAAAGCAATAAAGCTACATTAGTATTAGTTATTAAATACTGTTTTGTAATGTTTTCAAATTCCTCAGAAAATTCATTGGAGATGATAAACATGTAGCACTGATTTTATATGAACTATTGGATTACACCCTTGCCAAAATAATCTTTGATTAACAGGGATGGAGTTAGAAATTTGGATTTCTCAAAAGATTTTGAATCAGAAAATTTGAATCTGCAAAACTTTCTTATTGAAATGACTAGTGTTTAAATTAGTCCATTCAATTTCAGTTTTCATAATCTGCAAAAATATTTGAGTTACATTATTTGATGTAAAAATATTTTGATTAGCTTATTTCACTGAGGTTTGACAGTTACAGCCTGAGAAATGAAAAGTTTTACTATGGGAAGAAAACATATTTTTAATTGAAACTAAGGTTGGGAAAAAGGCAATAAAACAGAAGGCAATAAATTTACCTGAAGTGGAAAGTCACCCTATTTGTATCTTTCTGGACTGTTAGGTAAGCTCCCTGTTGGGAGAGCGAGTACNGTAGAAGAAATAACTTAGTGACAAAAGGTGTACTGCAGAGGTGATATTCAGTCGGTTCTCTCTGGTTTGGCGAACTGGTAGTGGCAGCTGCAGGAGGCTCTGCCTACCCGCCCTCATGTAATGCGCAACCTTCTGCGCATGCGCTCACATTTGTGAATTGGTAGGAAAGGTAAGTGAATCCCACCACTGGTATACTGCTATCAAAATCAATAAGATAGAAAAGCAACAAAGGAAAAATTAAAAACAACCACTTAAAATGTCCAGGCGTTTGAAAGTGCAAAATGTTTTCAAAATAGTGTAAGAACTGTTTCCAAGGCTGGGGGCTACACTTAGTTGTTTTGTTTGGGACAAGGATTGCAGGGCAAGGGTAAGCAGGCTGGGCTATATCACAGTGATTTTTTTTAAAAAAAGGAAAAGTATAAAATGAGCAATATTTGCATGTCATTGTTCTGTGCACTGTATGTTTTTTTCATAGATGTTTTTTCATATACTGTACTTTTTTAAAATGACTGAAAACTTTCACTGATTTTTTTTTTGGCAACTCAAGAAACGATTGCTAAATTCTGGTAATATACTGTAGATAAAAGGGGTCCTTAGTGGCCTAGGTGCTGACTGAAAGGACCTACTATAAATATATTGAGCAAGGTGGTTCTTTCTTAAAAGACCAGTGATATGGAAAAACTCCTCTTTGTTGCTACGTGTCTCTAAAGGTGGGTAGTATTGTAATTTAAGGGCTTTTAGTGAAAACTGTTTAGAAGCAGACAGCTGGATAGAAAAGCATGGGATCCTCAAGAGACAAGCTGGAAAGGGCTCTAAAGAGCAAAAATGGCATCTTGAACTGGATTTGAAGCAGACTGAGAATAAACCAATGAAAATGTAAAATTGTTAAAAATATTCCACTAGTGAACTATCCCATCAGCATTCTCCTGTGTTTCGCTTTGCTTTGAATCAGCTGTAGCTTCCAAAGTGTCTTTGGTGTCCTCACATACAACAAACGTTAGTTGTGAAGTCATGTCTGACCCACTGCGACCCCATGGTCAACATTCCTCCAACATTCCTTCCTGTCCTCTATCATCCTCTGGAGTCCATTTAAGCTAACGCCTACTGCTTTGGTGACTCCATCCAACCACCTCATTCTCTGTCATCCCCTTTTTCTTTTGCCCTTAATCTTTTCCAGCATTGGGTTCTTCTCCAGTGAGTCCTTCCTTCTCATTAGACGGCCAAAGTACTTGAGTTTCATCTTCAGGATCTGGCCTTCTAAAGAGCAGTCAGGGTTGATCTCTAGTACTGACCGGTTTGATCGCTTTGCAGTCCAAGGGAATTGCAGGAATCTTCTCCAGCAAAGGCTTGAATTCTTTGGCTCTCAGCCTTTCTTATGGTCCAACCTTCACAGCCATGCATTGCAATTGGAAAAACCATAGCCTTGACTATACACGCTTTTGTTGGCAGGTGATGTCTCTGCTTTTTAGTATGCTGTCTAGATTTGCCATAGCTTTCCTCCCCAGGAGCAATGTCTTTTAGGCAATCTAATTCAGATGCTATCAGAACAGATCACTCTTGTCATAGTACCTCTTGTTGCCTTGAAACTCAAGCACCCTGCATTTATGTGGAGCTGAAGACCTACTCCTTGAATTTGGGAGATAAAAACTTTTACTTTTGCAAAGGGGCTTTATTAACCACTCGAAAATACGAATCACTAAGTAATCCAGATAAAGTAAGAAGCATTTATTAAAGGGGATTTTCAAGTAGTTATATAGGGGACAGAAACAAATGACACCTACAAACAGTGTATGTGCTACTTTAGAAAGCAAGTGATCAGATATTGATTACATGCGAGAACTGAACACAGTAAACACTGATTCTAGACAAAATTTCACAAGTAGCAAATTTACATGAGTGATGTTACTTTCCTGCAAGGTTTGTATGTTTCTTAAAACTTGTAAATTTATTTGAGGGCTTCCAGAATCTGCT